CAGGTAAGGCAAGCCTAGTCAGCCTTGGCATGGGGCAACATCCTTCTGGGGACGCTCTTTCCCCCACCAAGCAGCATCCAGATGGAGGACCAGCTCCAAAAGCCACCATGTGATTGCCTGTGCCCCTCTCACTTCCCCGTGGGGTCACCCAAAGAAGGGCAACCAGCAGAAAGCAAGAGCTACCTTCCCACCAGCCCAGCCAGGCAGCATTACCCTGTATGATCCACCTCCGAATGAGCCAGCAGATGCCACGTTGCCAATGTCTTGATTTGCAGCCGCTCAGGGTACCCACCAACCCAACCAGGCAGCATTACCCCGTATGATCCACCTCTGAATGAGCCAGCAGATGCCATGCTGCCAATGTCTTGATTTGCAGCCGCTCAGGGACACGGCAGCCACAGAAAAGCAGGAAAGAAAGAAGAAAAAGTCTCAGCGAGAGGCACGGTGCACACAGCCCTCAGGGAGCCCCACCGGGCAAGCCGCAGCCTGAATCTGCACTGGGCGGCAACGTCATGAGACCAAGCTGACAGTCTCCCTGGGTGGCATGTCAGCTCCCCTTCCAGAACATCCTTGCTCAGAGTATCATGCACACCCAGACCCTGTCTCTCGGGGGAGTATGGGACCAAGGTGGGTCAACACCATCCCAGCACCAGGTGATCTTCAAGTCCACCAGCCCAGCCCACTCATCCTCATGAGATGGATGCTGTCCCACTCCAGGGGAAGGTCTCCTTTTGTGGTCCACCAGGCAGGGTGGCAGCATCTTGGTCATCATTCATGAATAGTCTGAAGAAATTAGGAGGCTCTCCAGAGCCTCCAATCCATCTGCTGGACATCATACCAGGCATGTGCAAGGCTGAATGAGTGATGGTGTGACATGGGGTCATCCAAGCCTGGACCCCAATGGGTCTCATTGCCCTGGCCAGCAGGGCTGGTGCTGTGCTGGAGGAGACACCTTGCTGGGGTGTTTCAGCTGCGGAGGAGCACGCAATGAGGGGCATGCAACCACGGCACAGGGAAAAGTTAACCCCCCTACTCCTGCGCAGGCTGCAAGTCCCAATGTCTCGAAAGAGGAGGAGAGGCAGATGTGCCAAAACCTCAGCAGGATCAGCATCCCCAGCCAGGGCAAGGCCACTGCTCTCCACCCTGCTCGGCGGGCGCTGGCTCCTCTGGCCGGGGCAGAGCCAGGAGCAATCTGTGCCCTGGGTTCCTCCGAAACCTGATCTCTTTGCTCCTCCGCGTAACCTCTGCCGAAACAGGCTGGGCCTTTGATCACAGCAGCCTCGCCCGAGATGGATGGGTTCAATAAAGCTCCTTCATATTCTTAATTTCCCACTATCCATCACTCCCTGGGGAGCTTTTGCA